GGCGGCCTTGTGTAACCGAGAGAAGCCCCGCGTCCGGGCTCGTCAGGGTCAGCGGGACATTGCCCCCTCCAGCCCTCACGTCTGGCCCTGTCCAGGCTGCCCCGCCGCCGCCAACGAACTTTTTCACGGACCAATGGAATCCTCCGACCAGCCCAGGGGGGCTGGAATCGCGGTGATTTCCCTAAATGATGACGAAGAAACTGAGGCTCAGACACATGGAGCGAATGTTCAAGGTCACACAGCTGGACTGGGATCCTGACTGCTGTGTTCTGCCCTGCACGCGTGACACACAACTCCCTTGAATGCCCAGGAGTGGTCCCGTTTGGGGGTTATAAGTGATATACGTATAAATAAATGCAGCCAAGGGAATCCTAATAAAAACTTTAAACATATCTAATATTCCAAGGTTTTCCTCTTTATACCTTGTCTGCACCACCACCAGAATATAAGCTCCAAGAGGACAAGAATTTACATTTGTTTTGCTCTGTCTAAAATAGTGCCTGATAGTAGGAGAGGTCAATAAACATTGGATGAATGAAGAAACACACTTCTTAGGTGAGACATGGATCCAGGCACTGTGATGACCCAAGAGAGATGAACCAGTCTCAGCCTCCAACAGTCATGGGTGGTGTACCTGGGGGGAGAGGGAACAGGGGGCCATCTGTTTCACCTATACAGAGCTTAGCACAGGACCTGTCACTGGCTAAATTCTCAAATGGTGGCTTTTTATTATTACAATTACCACCAGGCCCAGTAGTGTAAGATATATGTGGGAGAGGAGGCACCACTGAGATCTGGATGGTTCTGGACAGACCTGGGAGGCCCAGGGGCCTCTCTTCCTGATACACCAAGTAGTCACAGTGGGCCATGGCTCTGTGGTCAGTTCCTGGTTTTCATTTCTAGAGGGCGAGTCACCTCCTGCAATGACTCTCATTTCATAGATGAGGAAGCTGAGGTTTAAAACGTGCCCTATTGCAGTACCACCTTTCCAGGGCTGTTATGGGGATTGATCGTTATGGTAATGCATTTAGCATAGGGCCTCAGACACAATCAAAAGTCAATAAATGTTAGCTAGTATGTCCATCCCCATCCCATCTCTGCAGGGCTAACTCAAATTACCTTTTCACTTGGCAGGTAGTGACTCTGTACAGGTGGAATAGATGGACTCTCAAAGCCACCGTTCCACATTAGAATCATTACTTCCCTTTTCTAGATGAAGAAATAAAAAGGCAGGCAAGGACAGGATTTGCCCAGCTTCACTCTGTAGCTAGGGCCAGAACTGGACTGGAATCCAGGCTCCTGATCTCCGGCCAGAGCTTCCTTTGGAACCCTCACTGCCTGTGCTGGCATTAACCCTTTCATGCCTGAGTGTTCCTTATCTCCAATGCAATTTTGCTCTCAGGGGTAGGGAGTGGGTCTAATCCTCTTGTTAAATGACAAGTAGCATGACTGAGTGGTGAAGAGCCTGAGTGTTGGCATCTGTCATGCACTCAGGCTCTTCACGCCCTAGCTACAGAGTCAGTGTACAGAGTGTACAGTTCTCTGTCCACTGTAAACTGCTATATAGATGTGTCAGGTCTGCCATCAGTGCAGACAGTCTTCAGAAAAGAAACAAGCAAACAGACAATCAGCGTGGCCTGAGGAAGAAAGGAGAGGCTTCAACATGGTAGTGAAGTTAACCCAGGCTCTGGGGTCTGCAGAGGGTCTGGGGGGCAAATAGGATGGAGGAGAGAAGCAGCCAAAACAGCTCTAGACCTCAGATGGCCCCACGTGGAACTAACACACAGGGCAGAGTACTTTCTAACAAAATGGTCCCCTTCAGGTTTCTTTCTTATTCTGTTCCTAATTTCTGTGGATATGAATTCTCTCCCACTTGCAACCATGCTCTGCTGGACATACTTTATTTTATTATGAATTACTAACCATAAGGCATTTGCTTTCTTAGTTCTAAATTTTTTATTGCTTATAAAGTACCACATCAGCTGGGAATATAATTGACTTTCTTAGAACTATTATTCTGTATTGCTTCGAAAGAGTCACATCAACTACAATTATATAACAGCTCTGTTGTTCTGTTTGACATTTAAAACCAGAGGTTGTGAACTGGTGGCCATGGGCTCAATTTGGCCCACAGATATGTTTGGTTCAGACTGCCTGGTGTCAACCTCCAAATTAAATTACTTAGCAATATATTTGATAATTAGTTAATTTTACATTAAAATCTGGATTTCTGGTGTCTTTTTAAATTTTTGGAAAACCTGGCAACATGGGCCTGCATTCCTTGTGCTGGTGACTGATTTATATCGAGAAAGGGGATGCTGCCTTCAGTCAAGGCCATGTTCTCCAGTCTATTGTGGTCCCCACCATCCCGATTGCTCCCCAACACCAAGGCTAAGAATCACTTGCCATTTATAATCACATATGCACTTCTGCCTTTTCTCATAAGAAAAAAATGGAATAGATTGCTCATGTCTCTGTTAAAAATGGGGGAAAAGATATATAAATAGGGAGGGGGGGCATGTTTCAAGAAAGATGTGAAAGAACATATTTCTACATGTTTCTTATACAAATTAAGTATATCTACATTGGGAAAAAGTGAAAAGTAAAATGATGAAACAAACCTGGTCCCCCTCAGCTGTGCATGTTACCTGATGGATGAAGGAATAGCTACATTTTGATTGGTGGGCTTGATTGTAGTCCAATTTATCAGTCCAAGATCCAAATGCATAAGGCAGTAGTTTCCTTTACTACTCTGGCAGGGAAGTCCTCTGTGCATGTTTCATATTTTGCTGGTTCTATGTAAGTATCTGCTAATATCCAATTCACTGGAATATAAAGGTAAAAGTCCCCAAAGCACATTTCTTCTCTGAAATGACTGGAATTAGATGCACGTTGATATTGTTAATTTTGTACCTATTTCATCTGAGAAGCCAGACCAGGCTCCTAGGTAATCAGGGCTCTCATTTTAAAGTTGGGCCAGGAGGTGGGAACTGTGAACTCAGACTGATGGAGAACAGGGCGGGCGTCCGGCCTGGGAGCTGAAGGGGGACCAAATGGTCCCAGCTGCTGGTGTGGGAGGGATGGGGGCAGGATGCCAAGCCAGGCATTTCGCCTCCTGCCAGACTGTGTTTTGAGGGTTTAAGCGATTTCCTTCTATTCAATATGATGTTGTAGAAATAGCCAAGAGGAAGCTTTGTGTCATACTGGAGCTGGTCTAAATTGTTTACCACAGCTTTAGGACAATCTGCGACATCGGGAGGTGTGGAGACATGAGGACCTATGTCCCAGATTTTCTAGAACTCAATTAAATTAATGGTCTGTTCCATTTTCCTATAAACCACCCAAGTGTCCCAGGAAACTCAGTCTCCAAAAGCATTCTCCAGACTGTCTCAAGCAGCTGGAAGGGGCACAAAAATCAGTGAGAAACCTCCCAGGTTCTGGTTTGGGATGAAGTTACCAAGCACATAGTGCAGGTCTTTCTGAACCTATTTCTTCAGGACGTGGGGATAACACCTCCCTTGTGCAGCTGTGGTGAGAAAGTTCACAGGAGACCCTTGTATCCTCATCTGGTTTCAGGAGTAGAAAAAGCAGAATAGACCCAACTAGCTCACTAGAAAAGAATTTACTGGCATATCCAGAGAAAAGGGCTGCCTTTTGGGTAATCAAGAGAAAACAAGGACAGTTCAATCCCACAACTGCCTTCTATCCAGGACGCTTTCCGATGAGCACCTTGATGTATGTGGATATGCAAAAAGGGACCAGGGGCTGAGAAAAGCCAAGTTGTTCTGCATAAGAGATATGAAGACAAAAATCTGAGAGGACAAAAAAAAGGTCTGGGGGGGTTGTCAGGCACCTCTTAGGTGCTACTGCCATCCCCTCTGCCTGTATCCTTCACATGCACTATAGGCAAGGTCATCCAGCTGCCAGCAACTGCTTCCCTTCACCTGAGCACTTTGTCTGCCTGCCGGACCCTGCTCTGCCCGCAGCATAGCAGACTGGAAGTGCTGGGGAATTAACTCTGACCCCCAGCTGCTCTCAGCCAACGGCTGGCTGGAGCTGATGGATTAAAAATCTCAGCTCCCTTTTCCAACTGGTGGGAACTTCTAGACACCCAGAGTCAGTCCCTTGCCCCCTACCCACACTGAGCGCCTCTCCCTTCCTGCCCCAGGGATGCTGCTGATGTCTGACACAGGGCGTAATTCACTCAGCCCCAGCAGCCTGGAAGGGCAATAGAAATTACACCTCATGAAGCCAATTTTTAGCCAATGGAAGCCAACAAATACATTTTTCCTCCTTCTCCCAGATGCACTGTCCTGAGAAAGTCACTTATAAGGCACCTGAGAGATGCTCTCACAAGACT